CGGCACCTCCCTCTGTGTTTACAATTAAGAAAAAAGGCCGGCTGGGCGTGGTGGCTCACACCTGTAATCCTAGCACTTTGGGAGGCTGAGGTGGGTGGATCACCTAAGGTCAGGAGTTCAAGACCAGCCTGGCCATCATGGTGAAATCCCATCTTAAAATAAAAAAAAAAGGTCACAGGGCAGGTGGGGTTTAGGGAACCTTAGGGTCTACAGTACTCAGCCCAGTACTTCCTCTTCCACTCTGCTCTCCCCATCGTCTTCTACTGATCCATGCCTCACCCCAAAGACTCCCTGTTTCCGTGTAAGGGTCCCGTTCCCAGGAACCCCTACTCCACCACTCCAGTTCCAGAAATGGACATGAGATTTCCCACTGGTGACGATGCAGCTGCTGTCACGAGGGTTGAAGCCAACGGCCAGGACTGAGTCATTTGTACTCTGAAGGGAAGACACTAGATTCAGCCACCCCAAGCCCTGAGTACCTTCCTTCTACTTGACTCTCCTCAATTGTATCATGACAGCTGGCTGGCAGAAGTCCAGAAACCCCAGGACAACCCTTCTTTCAAGACCCTGGTCCCCTAAGAGCACTATTCCCTGTCAATCATAATTAATCACCCTAATACCTAATACATTATCCCTCATGAGGTCAGAACCCATATCACAAATGAAAAAACTAAGGCTCAGAGAAGCTAGAAGATTTGTCTCATGTGACTCAGCCAAAAAGGAAGGAAATGTATGGGTGAGTCTGGAGTTCTCTGTACTCCACCACTCCCACCCCCAACCTCAGAGCCCTTCCAAGCCACGTGAACTCCTCACCTTGATCTCAGCCAGCTTCATTCCCCGGCTGCAGTCCCACACCGACAGCATGTGCTCATTGGAATCATCCACCACACAAAGAAAGGCACCCTGATCCTTAAGAAAGGTGACACATGGGAGGGGCAGGGGTTCATGGTCATTAGGTTAGGAGGTACCGTCACAGATGGAGAGGACAGGAGAACTTGACACATGTCCCTTTCCCAAGAGAACCAGCTGGGTGGGGTTCAGGAAGGCCAGAACTTCTAAGGCTTCCTGGTGACATGCAAGAGTGGGGTTCCCAGGTAAGAATGGGGGTCTAGAGGCTTTGGGGCCAGCTCACCGCAGCTGAAAAGGCCAGAGCCCCAACACCCCGCTCGAAAGCCCCCAGTCCAATCTCCTGCAGTTTCAGCAGTGTCTCCGAGTCCCAGATGTGAACCACAGGCTGCAGGGGCTGGTGGAGGAGGAAGAGTCACCGGTGTAAAGAAAAGCTGGGCTGCAATTACCGCGTGTCTGCCTGCTCCTCAACTTTGGCCTTACCTTTCCATCCTTATCCACTCCAGCTGTCTGTCCCGAGGCTACCCGAACACCATCAGGGTGAACAGCAAGGCTAAGGCGGGGGAAGACACTCTAGGGAAAGGGTCTCTCCAGATCATCCAAGACACCTTCTCCAAGCTTGCAGACCAGCAAGGCAACTCTTCCCTCCTGCTCCTCCACCCTCCCAGACCCTCTTCCTGCCAAGCCCACCATCCCCAGGCCCCTCACCATCTAACGCAGTCTGTGTGCCCCCGGTAATGTCTCTGGCCACCGCCTCCAGGACCCCCTGGGCCTCCTCCAGGCCGATACAGCACCACCACACAGGCGATAAAGTAGACCACCTCCCCAGAGCGCAGCACAAACAGATTAGAGCGGGAGTCACGACCCCGGTACCCATAACTGGGGTGGAGATCACGGTCAAGGAAAGGGTTAGATCAAGGGCAGGAGAAGGAAGTGGGGAAAAAGACAGAGCTTCTGGCTGGCAGTGCCTGGGGAAGAATAATGGTAGGAGAGGATTTAGAAGGCTCCTTGTCCCCATAGACCCAGGAGAAAACTGTAAAGGGAAGAGGGGTCCCAAGGTGGGAAAGGTGGTTCCTATGGGACTGGACAGGGCAGGATACACCCAGTCAAGGCTGAGGGTCTCTGGCGGTGGGCCGCTGGGCAGCTCCTCAAGGCTGCGGATGCCAGACGGGATGTACATGGTAATGGGGCGACCTCGAAGGAACATCTTCACTGAGATGCCTTCTACAGAGAAAAGGGGTGGTGTCAACTACCACCCACAGCCCCCCTTCCAGGAAAGACAGAGCAGAACTCTACCCACCACGCCTCACAGCCCAAAACAGCTCCTGGGGCTACAGCCCAAATCCTAACCCTGCCATCCAAGTTTTTCTCTCTGTTCCTCTGTACATACCCAAATTATAATTGCTCCTCCGAGATCCAGGGCCCCCAGGGCTGGAGAGAGGGTCTTTTCCCCCACGGCTATTGGGAAGAGAGAAAGCACAGGGATTGGGGTCAGGTCCCAAGACCTAAGGGGGGGACAGGGAGGACACAAGAAAGGAGGTCACTGCAGAAACCACAGTCACCTCTGCAAGCCTGTAGTTTGCTTCATGAGCATCAGGGCCCTAGAATAGACAGAGTCTTTAGTTCCACTTAAGAGATGAGAAGATTGCAGCTGAAGGGGTTGAGCGCACAGCACAAGGCCACAAAATTTGGAAGAAGCAGTGCAGGGTGCCAGAGCCCTTTCTCTCCTCCAGACCACCAGGCCTCGGTCTTATTCTGTCACCCAGGCTGGAGAGCAATGGCGCAATCTTGCTCACTGCAACCTCCACCTCCTGGGTTCGAGCAATTCTTCTGCCTCAGCCGCCCCACCTGCCGGGATTATAGGTACACACCACCAGGCCTCACTATTGACCCTTTCATCACCCCATCTGTAAAATGGGACCAAAGGGAGTCCAGAATGTACACCAGCCCCGCCTCTCAGGAATGCGGGAGGTAAGCGAGAAAGTCCACATCTCTCCAGAGATCCCTGAGATTAGATAACAGTAAGGTGATACTATCTTTTCAGAGAATAAAGCACAGGCCAAGGACAGGGCTAGAATGAACATTTGAGTGTCCTAGGGCCCATACAAACTCTGAGGCAACTACGTTCGGCCACCAGGACGTCCCCTTGCCCTCTAGAAATAAGTATTAATAGATTGGTACTTGGTAGATCCAGCGGAAAGAGGGCTGAAGCTCTAGGGACAGCCATCCATGAAAGTCATGGGAGCTTCTAGAAAAGCCTCTTGGGATCACGGAAGGTGTGCTGTGATGTAGTGGAAAGGGTAGGGGAACTGGAGTCAGGAAAAGTTAGGTTCAAATCCTGACTCTAGTTGTGTGACCCCAGGCAAACGACTTACCCTCTCTGAGCCTGCTTCCTCACCTGTGCAATGGACAGCATGAGACCACCTACCCCCCAAGGATGTTGTAGGGACTGACTGAAATGGAGGAGGTCGAGGGTTTAGCACAGTGCCCGGTACACAGCAGGTGCCCCAAGAGTACTTGTTTCTTTCTTCCTGTTGGGCAATGAGGTCCCCCCACCCCACCCAGGGATGTGAAGTGAGGGATGTGGAGAGTCAAGAGCCTGCCCCTGGGGCAGGGTGGGTTGAAGGGAAGCCTCACCCACCTCTCTGTGCTCCCGGACCGCACTAACAGGTTGGCGGAGGAAATTGCCTTCCTGGAGAGCTTCTGCCGAGGCCGCTCTGAGGGGGATGAGGAGGAGGAAGAATTTCTTCGGGGCCTGGTGGGGGCACAGTGAAGGTCATTCCCTCCAATTGCACTCTAAAATCCCACCACCTCTCCCAGCTTCCACCACGAGGCCACAGGACACCTACGTGTCAGCACGCTGTGGGGGCTGCAAGGGCCTGAGGATCCCGGGGGGGCCGGGGGAGCCAGCACCACTGCTGCTGCTGCCCCCTCCTTCAGATTGGGTCCCACTAGGCTCTTCGCTAGCTCCCTGAGGGGCTGGGGGTCCATTGCTCAGGCCAGGAGGTCCAGGGGATGACTTGAGCTCCACCTCTGTCTCTGTCTGGGTGCCTCGGCTCACCAAAGAGGGGGTGCAGGTGGGTGGCAGTCCTGGGGGTGCTGCAAGACTGCTGGAGAGATGATGAATTAAACTGAAGCCCCAGAGGCCCCAGGGAGGAGGAAAAAGGGGGTGTGCTAACATGCATACCTGTCCCCTGGAGGAGCTGGTGTGCCAGATTCCTGCAGGGAGGAGGGGGGCACCTGCAGCCGAAGCAGGCGAAGGGCTTCTGCCAGGGCTGCCTTTACCAGCTCCATCTCCTGCTCCTGCACCCGAAGCCGCCGGCTCAGAGACTGCAGGGCCTCCCGAGCAGAGCCCTCACCTGGGAAAAGGGCAAGAAGTACTCAGAATGTACCCACCACCTGAGGAAAGCGTAGAGGGGATTCTGTCCCCCCACAACGTTACAAGTGTCCAACAGGACTGCCCTTTCAAGCAGCCCCAGCTTTGGATGCTCGTCCAGACGGGAGGAGACGGTGGTAGAGGATCAAGGGCCTCCTTCTGGCAGGGCAGGCGAGAAGGCTGGCAAAGCTCCCTTCCTGCTGCCGTCTCAGCCTCCGCAAAGACTGGGAGTACCATGGAGTATGGGGCGGGGTGGGGGGGATATGAAGTACTGCCGAGGAACGTGGGAGCCACAGAGAGAGGCACTGCACTGGTGAGGGGAGGGACGGCAGCCCTCCCTCCCCACGCGCCCACAGCAAGCTCAGGTCTCCAGCGAAATAGGAGTAACTGAGCGGGGGGACTCCGGGAGAGAGGGCAGGGCACGGGAATGGAGTACAGGAAAACAGATGCAGGGTGACAGGAGAGGGGTCTGGGTGGTGAGCAGAGTCACAGTGAAGGTCTCAGGGAACAGTGGGGGTTAGAAGGAAAAAGAGCTGAAATACCAGGAGAAGAGGCCCGGAGTAATGTAGGGAGCAGAGAAACATCGAGGGGTCTGGAGTTACGTGGGGGGGTAGAAGACGCTGGAGAAGCCCGAAGTGACAGCAAGACCCGAGTAACTAGGGAGGGCGACCGGAGGAACTGTGGAGGATGCTCGGAGCCCCTGGGCAGAGGAGCACGCGGGGACGCCTCCAGACAGCCGTCCAGCTCTGGCATAGCCCGACGGGCCGGGCGCTCCGGGAAGGGGCACGCCGCCCGCCCCGCCCCGTACTCACCGGGCCCCGCGGCCCCGTCCATCCGGCCCCCGCGTTGCTCCGAGCGGCGGCGGCGGAGGAGGCGTCTAAGCCGCGGGGGCCACGGCCCGGGAGAGGGGAAGGGGAAGCACCCCGGGTAGCGCGCGAAGGGCGCCGTACCACCACCCCGCGGGGGCGCTGTCGGGCGCGAGGAAGGAGCCTGGAGGGGGCGCTGTGGGTCCGGGGCCACAGTCTCCGGACCCCCCCGGGCCCTCGGACTCTCCCGGGGCCGCTCTCGGCTCCCGGGGGTGGGGTGGCGAGGCCGTCCGGGGCCACGGCGCCACAGCACAAACAGGCGCCGGACGCGGAGCCGCCAGGAAGCGCGGGAGGGGGGCGGGCCCGGGGGGGGGGCCGGGCCGCCTGCTAACCCCTCCCTGTCCGGGCTTCACCGCTCAGTACGGGGGCGGGGCCAGCCGGCTGACCCCCTGGACTGCTCGCGGCCTCTGGCTCCAGGCCCTTCCCGGATCCCCGCCCCCGGATTCCCAGGGGACGCGGGAGGGAGCACCCGCCCCGAGGTCTCCGCCCCACAGCCCCGAGCCCCTCAGGGCTGAGCCGACCAGCTCCACCACTTCCGCGAGGGGCAAGGGCGGGGTCACAAAACGGGCCCTCGGCCTAGGGGCGGAGCTTCTCCTAAGGGGCAAGGCCGAGGCATCCCGTATTGGGGCTGACAGGACGGCGGGTTATTAAGGCTGAGGCTGGGAGGATGCTCAGGGTATTGGGGTCAGGGTGGCATTAGCTCAGCTCAAGCTGGGCCAGGCTGACTCAGCATGCTGCCCCAGCCAGCTTCCAACCCCGAGAGCCCTGCACTTCCTTGGGCAGAGATGGGAGATGGCGCCGGTGTTGCCCCTGGTGCTGCCCCTGCAGCCCCGCATCCGCCTGGCACAAGGGCTCTGGCTCCTCTCCTGGCTACTGGCACTGGCCAGTGGCCTTATCCTCCTCTGTAGCGGGCACCTTCTGGTCCAGCTGCGGCACCTTGGCACCTTCCTGGCTCCCTCCTGTCAGTTCCCTACCCTGCCCCAAGCTGCCCTGGCAGCGGGTGTGGTTTCTCTGGGCACAGGACTAGTGGGTGCAGGAGCCAGCCGGGCAAGTCTGAATGCAGCTCTGTACCCTCCCTGGAGAGGGGTCCTGGGCCCACTGCTGGTGGCTGGCACAGCTGGTGGTGGGGGGCTCCTGGTCCTCGCCCTTGGCCTAGCCCTGGCTTTGCCTGGGAGTCTGGATGAGGCACTGGAGGAGGGCCTGGGGACTGCCTTGGCTCACTACAGGGACACAGAGGTGCCTGGGCACTGTCAGGACAAAAGGCTGGTGGATGAGCTACAGCTGAGGTACCACTGCTGCGGGCGCCACGGCTACAAGGATTGGTTTGGGGTCCAGTGGGTCAGCAGCCGTTACTTGGACCCCAGTGACCAGGACGTGGTTGAGTGAGTGATTTGCTTCACCCTTCTTCCTCCTCCTCCTCCTCCTTAGCCAGGCTCCCTCCTGCTGCCTTGAAACCCCACCTGGCCCAGAAAGGCAATAAAGTAGAGCACAGTAGCAGAGAGGTGGGTTACAGCTCTTCTATTTATTAGCTGTGAAACCCAGGCATGTTACCAAATCACCCTGGGCCCATTCCTTCACCTGTAAAATGGAGATAATAGTACCTATCTGATAGAGTCGTTGTGAAGATAAAGTGAATTATGCTTGGCTGGCACGTAAGCCAGCAGTCAGTAAATGTTTTACCATCCTTTTTCCCTTCTCAAACACCTGTGCCCCTCACCTCCTCCCCCAGGCCTCTATCTCCAGACATCCTAAACCCTCTGTCCCTCCGTTTGCAGCCGGATCCAGAGCAATGTGGAAGGCCTATATCTGACTGATGGAGTCCCTTTCTCCTGCTGCAACCCCCACTCACCCCGGCCTTGCCTGCAAAACCGTCTTTCAGACTCCTACGCCCATCCCCTGTTCGATCCCCGACAACCCAACCAAAACCTCTGGGTCCAAGGGTGCCATGAGGTGCTGCTGGAGCACTTGCAGGACTTGGCAGGCACACTGGGTAGCATGCTGGCTGTCACCTTCCTACTGCAGGTGAGTCAGCAAAGCATCTGAGGCCTCCTCCCACCTGGGACTCCCTGCCTCCAACGCTGGGCCTCCTGGAAACGCTGACTCTCTGACTCTTTCCCCTTGCTTCCCCCACAGGCTCTGGTGCTCCTCGGCCTGCGGTACCTGCAAACAGCACTGGAGGGGCTTGGAGGGGTCATTGATGGGGAAGGAGAGACCCAGGGCTATCTCTTTCCCAGTGGGCTGAAAGAGATGCTGAAAACAGCATGGCTACAGGGATGGGTTGCCCGCAGGCCAGCACCTGAGGAGGCCCCACCAGGAGAGGCACCTCCCAAGGAGGATCTATCTGAGGCCTAAGGACCTGGAGCTTGGGGTGGGGAGGAGGAAGGGATGGACAAGTCTGGAAATCTCACAACTCCTTTCCAAGGCTCCAGGCTGGGGAGGGGAATCCTGGGATTAGAAGGGTTAAGAATAGTCAGTGAGCTGGACTAGGGTAAGAAAGAAAACCAGATATCCTAGGGCCTAGCCCTCATAGCCAGAACCACCAGGGAACAACCACCAAGAACAGAGTGATGGGAAAGTGACGTGGGAAGGCCTGGAGATGGATTCTGGTACAAACTCAATAAAGTTTTTGGATGGAAGCAACCGCTTTTTCTTTCAAGGGGATGGGGGCCTGGGAGAACTGATTTCTGTCTGATGGAGCAGCCAGGACTCCAAAGTTGGGACCCTGGCTCGACCTGTGCAGAACAGGAGCCCACATCTGTAAGGATCAGAAAGCAACAACCCGATGTAAGAAGGAAAGGAAAACAAGAGGCCCTCTAGGTTGAGATTCTTTATTCTGAAGGTAGGAGGGGATCAGCATGCTCAGGTGGGGAGGGTCCAGCCCAGCTCCTCCAGCCCCCCAGTGCATGCCCAGCCCCAATAAGTTACCCAGTTACTCAGCTGCCCTCCCTCTTGAGTCCGTCTGTCCTTCTACTCCACCCTAGACAGGGCTGACCTGGCTCAATACAAGGGCTGCTTGTCCCCAGCCTGTGGGCAGTGCCACATGGCAGGCCGGGGGAGGGGCAAAGCAGCAGGGCCATGCTGTGGGCCTGGAGGGGCAGAGGGGCCACTTCTGGCTCCAAAGAGTCAGGACTTGGAAAGCCACATCCTGGGAAGGCCCGGGGTCCAGTCCCACAAGATCTGTGCCTGAAAAGAGGTGGGAGTTGGGGTGGGGCCATCACACCTCAACTGCTGGGTCTGAGCCCCGGCCCTGCCGCTGCAGCTGCTCCTCCTGCTTCATCTTGGGCTTCTCTGTCCGTGTATGCCACACCAGTACCTGTGCCAGGAGGGAAGCAGTGAGAGCCAGGCCCAGCGGCAGCCAGGCCTCTGGGGCCCTCAGCCTGGAATGGATTCTCTAACCCTCTCCACATATTCAAAGTGTAAAGAGCAGGGTGGAGGAAGACTTAGTGCCTCTAAAATGGGGCCTTATTCCTTCATCCTGTCTGTGCCGCATGGGTTTCCAGGACTCAGGGACGGAGTGGCAGCAGACCACTTTCCCTCCCTGGTTCCCAGCTTCTCCTTCAGTAGAGTCAGCAAGGCTGATCAGAGATCTGGAGAGTCCCTCCTGGTTAAACCACCCATTCCCAGGGTCTCACTGCACCTCCCCAAAACCTGTCCATCCCAGAGCCAGGTTTCTGTGCCCGCCTCCATTCCCTTACCCGAGTGCAGTTGGCAGCCCGTGGCTCCAGGTCCTTGGGATCCACAAGGTGGCTCAGAAGACTGCTCTCCAGGTGGCCCCGGGGAGCGGTGGAATCAAACTGGGCATTGGGTTTAGCCAACAGCAAGGGCAGGGCCACAGCAAATCCAGCCATATCCACAGGGAAGGGCCTGTTGGGCTCCCATGCTGTGTGGAAGCCCACAACCCGGCCATCCTGGACCTGAGGGCCCTCGAATCGCAGGCCGCCCACCAGCCCTACAGGCCACACTGAGACACCACGAGTCCAGCGCATCTATCGGAGGTTGGGAGAGAAGAAACAGAGGAGTGGTCCGGGGAAGGGAGCAGCAGTAGGAGCCACCTGGCTCACTCTGCCCACTGCTTCCAGCCTGTCACCCAGCAGCCAACGGCAACACTGTTAACCAAGGTAATGAATGAAGGTGGCCTCACCTGGCCTCTTGCCCATCCCCATCCTCGTGCTCACCTCCTCAAACAGCTCCCGGCTGTAGGTGTTGTCATCATCAGCAAAGTACACAACTCCCTGGGTCCCTGGTGGTGGTGGGTCCTTCTCCCCACCCACAGCTCCCCCTCTGCCCCGGAGCCAGTCCAGGGCCTTGTTCCGCTGCTCTACACCACGGGGATGAACCCAGCCAGGCTCGCCCTCCCGAAGCCGCTGGGCTTTGGGCGTGAGGACCACCAGGTGTGTGAAGAGAAGGCCAGAGGCAGCCAGCAGCCCTGAGACCAGTGGGGTGGGACCCTCAGCGTCCTCCACCAGCAGCCAATGTAGCCGGGGCACCAGGCTCAGTGTCTGGGACAGCCGTACCAGCTCTGCCTTCTGTACCAGCCTGCAGGGGAGAGATGCAGCATGAGGGAAAAGGGTAGGCACCATTTGCCCACTCCAGCTAGAGCAGACAGCTTCACCTGGGCCACTGCCTGTATCTCCCGTGGTCTTTCCCAACCAATGCCTAAACTCCCTCTTTCTTGCCTGTCAACTTCATGCTAATACTCACCTGCCCTGTTCTTCCAGTTCATGTCCATCCCTCACCTCAACCCCAGAGCTCTGGCTATGGGAGACTATAAATTAAGGGCACAGGGCCAGGTGCGGTGGCTCACACCTGTAATCCCAGCACTTTGGGAGGCCGAGGCAGGTGAATCACCTGAGGTCAGGAGTTCCAAACCAGCCTGGCCAACATGGTGAAAACCTGTCTCTACTAAAAAAATACAAAAATTTTCTGGACATAGTGGCATGTGCCTGTAATTTCAGTTACTCAAGAGGCTGAGGCAGGAGAATCACTTGAACCTGGGAGGCGGAGGTTGCCGTGAGCGAGACTGAGCGATTGCACTCCAGCCTGGGTGACAAGAGTGAAACTCGACCTCAAAAAAAAAAAAAAAGTCCGGGCACAGTGGCTCATGCCTATAATCCCAGAACTTTGGGAGGCCGAAGCGGGCAGATCACCCGAGGTCAGGGTTTCAAGACCAGCCTGCCCAACATGGCGAAACCCTGCCTCTACAAAAATACAAAAAATTAGTCGGGTGTGGTGGCAGATGCCTATAATCCCACTACTCAGGAAGTTGAGGCAGGAGAATAGCTTGATTGAACCCCAGAGGCAGAGGTTGCAGTGAGCCAACATCATACCACTGGACTCCAGCCTGGGCAACAAAAGCAAAACTCTTTCTCAAAAGAAAAAAAAAAGGCACAGCCTTTGGAATCAGGTAGATCTAGTTCTGAAATCCAGTTTTGTAACTTATTAGGTGAGACAACTTGGGAAAATGGATCAATCTCCCTGAGCCTCAGTTTTCTCAACTGTAAAATGGTATTAACAATACTTTAGGCCGGGCGCGGTGGCTCAAGCCTGTAATCCCAGCACTGTGGGAGGCCGAGGCGGGTGGATCACGAGGTCAAGAGATCGAGACCATCCTGGTCAACATGGTGAAACCC